AAGTTTAGCAACCTAAGTTCCAATCCTACTCTAGCATGGCAATTTTAGGAATGTAAATGACAAGAATTGAATTGCTCAAAGTAAATGCTCAAAGTAAAGAGAGAAGGAGGAATGCGGTGATGTTTTGCCGAGGTATCGGAGAGTCACCATTCCCCACTAGTCCTTGTTGCAGCACCCGCGCAAGGGTGTAGCTCCACCTTGATCCACGCAAGGATCAAGTGCTCTCTATGGGTTGATTCTTCGACACTCCGTCATGGTGAATCACCCACAACCGCTCACAACTTGAGTTGGGTCATCCACAAGCTCTCCGGATGATCACCAAGCTCCTAATCGCCACCAAGCCGTCTAGGTGATGGCGATCACCAAGAGTAACAAGCACAAACTCTCACTTGACCACGACAAGCCTAATGAGAAGGGTGGATGCACACTTTGCTACTCTTGATCTCACTAATGAGGGCTCTCTTTGGGATTCTCAAATCTCAATCACCTCACTAGGACCTTGCTCTTCTTGGCACTCTCAAAGGTGTTTCTCAGCTGTTGGAATGAGCAAAAGTACCCCCACACACGAGTGGAGGTGATATTTATAACATCGGCTGAAAAACGAACCGTTATGTGCCTCTGCGGGGTGACCGGACGCTCCGGTCATGTTGACCGGACGCTCCGGTCAGTTCTCCCTGAACTCCAGTGTTTAAAGTGTGACTGAATGCTGGGCAGTGTCCGGTCAGAACTGACCGGACGCGTCTGGTCATGAATTTCCCTCTCTGGAGCCTTACTGGAGTCGACCGAATGTTGGCTCTCAGCGTCCGGTCACTTCACCTCTCAGCGTCCGGTCGCACCAGACGAAATCACCTTGGTCAAATGAACTGACCGGACTCTGAGCCAGCGTCCGATCACACCGAAGCCAGCATCCGGTCAGTATTTGACCCTCCATTCACTTTCAACTCTTGATCATACATGAATGAAGTTTGCTCCATTGGATCTAAGGGCTATTTTGGAGCTACCTAGTGTTAGTTTTAACGAGTGTGCACCACACCTAACTCACTAGACTCACCTAGGTCAAGCTATCCATCCATACCTCCCTTAATAGTACGGCCAAAGGAAAAATAAAGTCCTAAACTACTCTAAGTGTCTCTTCAACTCCAAACGACACTTAGAACTAGTCCATCCTTAACCTTGTCATCCATCATTTGAAAACCGAAAAATTTTCCATCGTAGGGGCATGACCACCATGATTGCCCAATCGATCTCCATTACCGTGACCTAACTTAATTACCTCTGCAAAAGACACGTTAGTCACAGTAATCACGTATTGTCATTAATCACCGAAACCCAACTAGAGGCCTAGATGCTTTCACTAATAACCATCAACATTGATTCATCTGAGTGGTCAAGAGCGCAACTACCACTTTTGCCGACCCCCAGGTACGCAAGCTCTGCCTTGCCCGACCTCTGGGTCCGTGCTCCGCCTCGTTCGACCCTAGGGTCTGTGCTCTGCCTTGCCCGGCCTCTAGGAGAGGTCTCCACCTCGCCCGACCCCAAGGCCGTGGGCTCCTCCTCGCCCGGCCTCTGGGGGGGATTTCGCCTCGCCCGACCCCTGGGTCTGCGCTCTGCCTCGCCCGACCCTTAGGTTTGCGCTCTGCCTTGCCCGGCCTCTGGGGGAGGACTCTGCCTCGCCCAACCCTAAGGCCATGGGCTCTGCCTTGCCTGGCCTCTAGGGGAGGATTCCGCCTGGCCTGACCCCTAGGTCTGCGCTCCGCCTCGCTCGACCCTTGGGTCTGCGCTCCGCCTTGCTCGGCCTCTGGGGGAGGACTCCGCCTCGCCCGGCCTCTGGGGGAGGATTCCGCCTTGCCTGACCCCTAGGTCTACGCTCTGCCTAACCCGACCCTTGGGCCTGCGCTCTGCCTCGCCCGACCCCTGGGTCTACGCTCCGCCTCTCCCAACCTCTGGGGGAGGACTCCACTTCACCCGACCCCGAGGCTGCAGGCCCCGCCTCGCCCAACAAAGACCCATACCGCCGCCAACCACTCCAAGTCCAAGGGTATGGGTTTGGGTCAAAGCTCTGACGCCAGGGAAGATACTGGCATGCCTCGATGTAGCCCGCGACCCACGACGGGCCATACCTGGGGGTTCATGTTAGGAACAGCGTCGGGCGTACCGGTGCTGTTCTGCCTAACTCCCATATGAACACTGACGGGCGCGTCAGTTCACCACGATGACCGCTAGGACTGAGTGGAGCGTCATGACCGGTAGACGACGCCTGCACATGGCGCCAGTGACTGACATGGCCGAGACGTGAAGCTGTCCCTGTTGACGCCTACAGGGTCGGGAGGACCCGCATAGAAGAGAAGGACCGGAGATCCTGGGGGACTTCTTTCTCCTTCTGATTCTTCTTTTCTCCCTCTGCTGTAACCCCTGCTTTCCCTTGGCCTATAAAAGGGAAAGCAGGGCGTCTCATTAGGGGGCATCGGACAACCGAATCGAACACATCCGAGCTTAACTCGACTCGACTCAAATAAGAGCTCACCACAACACACCACTAGAGACTTGGGACCAGTCCCTCTCTCAACCGTTTGTAACCCCTACTATGAAGTTTCGGTGCTAGTATCACGAGCAGCAGCAGCGAACTGGACGTAGGGACATTCTGCCCGAACCAGTATAAACCTCGTGTCCTTTTAGCACACCATCCGGGCCAGACGCGCAATAATACAAATTTACTCGTCGGTGTCAACTCAAAACACCGACAAGTGCGGTCAACACGGAGCACCCGCGTGCTTCGAAGCCGACACCGCGTCGGAGGCCGGAGCTAAGCGCCGCCGGCACCATGGCAGTCGCCGCCACCGCTGTGCTCTCTCCCTCTGGAGCGGCAGCAGTTGGAGTGGGTCCTACCTGGAGCAGAGGCAGCGGCCGCACTCACCTCGGGAAGGAGAAGGGGAGGAGCTTGATGGAGGCGACGGCCAAACGTGACAGAATGCTATATCTAGGTGACGTTGCGTTCTTTCGTTGGTATTTTATGGAGCGACAAAGTTTCTATGGTATTTTCTGAATACGACGATCTTTTAATGCTATGAGACCAATTTTTTCAAAAAAAATACTCCATCTGTTCTAAATTATAAGATGTTTTGTCTTTTTTAGACGCATAACTTAATGACTAGATATATAGTAAAACATATGAGTCTAGAAATACCAAAACATCTTATAATTTGGGACCGAGAAAGTATATATTGATATATTTAGCTTTCTCCACTCCACTGTGACTCTCTGGCTCCCCTCAGGCCCTCACATGTCATGGCTTTTATATATTTCTTTTTCAAGAATGAATGAGGTGAGGGAATTACGTGATGGAATGCACTTATTTATGAGACCATGTTTGTTAAGGTCACCCTTACTCCACTTAGAGTAGTGTTGATGATGTACCGAACCATATATGACCACATTTTCCATCAATTCTCGCAACTACCATATATCTAAGTAATGTATCCTTAACCACGTTGTACTCCTTATTAATTTACCTACATCTGATAATATTATACAAATATATATTTAATACCAACTATTAATAAATGCCCAATTGTACGGTAACTTTGCAATAATTATTTTTCATGTGTCATTATGTTTGTTGGGAACCCTAAAATGTTTGAACAGTTGCAAATTTCTGAATAATCATAGATTGTTGGCACCGAGAGACGCAAGGAAGATAACAGTAACTATTACTCCTAAAAAAATACAAATCTTGTTGTGTGCAATATTATAGTGTAGGAGTATGTTACTCCCTCCATTCCAAAATAGATGATCTTATAGTTTTGAGCATGGAAATTTCTAAGGAGTGGAAAGATGTTCTCCATAGAAAATAAGAAGAGAGATAGATAGATAGATAGATAGAGATAGAGATGTATTGGGAAAAATAAAGACGTATTCAAAAAAGAGAAAAGATACATTGAGATGCTATAAGGCCACTCCCAACCATAAAACTAGATGATTTCTATATTCATTAGTTAGGATGCCAACTAAGCAAAAAGATGTTATGACACTTCAATTAAAGAAGAGAGATGAGGAAATGATTTCTTAGATAAGAAACCATGTCTATCCAAAAACCAAGACATGAACAAATGTGCTAGATAGATGATGAAGAGATAAGACATATAATTTGACAAAAAAGGTTATTCTATGAAAACTATCCATTAGGAACATAGTTTCTATACATAGTATACAAATATATTAATAGACATAAAAACTACTTTTGGTTTATAGCACTGAGACAAAATTAGAATTTTATAAGGTTATTATCTATTTCGAAAGGAGGGAGTACATGGAATAACCCATCTTGCATTACATGATAACCTTTTGCTTCGGTATCACTGTCATAGGAAAATAATTACTTCTATGTTATCGTTGTTCTATCTAAAATAATTAGCTCAGTAATGACGAGACGTTGGGCTCATTTTATGGGAACACACATGCCGCGTTTCACACTTGTGTGCACCTACCAATTAGTCCGACCCCCAGCATATCTTCCGTCGGTGCTCAGGACCGACAGTGAGCTCTCACTGCCACGCGGGCCCCGCACGGCGCCAGCTCACCCTTTTTCCACCTGCCGCCTCACTGGCACACTCTCCCCGACACCGCCTCCCGCCAACTCGGCATTAAACTAATCCCGAACCCAGCCCACCAGACGCACGCAGATTAACTAGACTCAAAATCGCCTCGCCCCGCTGCAATAATCTTTTGTCAATTCTTAATCCCTCGCGTCGAAAGCGACAGCGGAACCAACTCACATTGCCGCGGCTTCCTCCATCGGTGCGGTGCCCTGTCCTTTTCTCTCCTCACTCCTCTCCCGCCCCGCCCCGCCCCACTACTACTTACTAGTACCAGCACTCGCAGCGGGAGATGCGGTGCTGATCCGTGCCCCCCCTGCTCGCATCTCGGGAGTGGTGCCAGCTCGGCTCTGCCCAGGCCCCAGGCCAGCTCCCTCGTCGGTTCTTGGCGAGCTCTCCTGCCCTGCCATGGAGGGCGACGCGGACGGCGTGGTGAGTGGCGGGAGATCTCAGCTGCATTCCGTTTCGTGTTGGGGTTGGATCTTGGGAGAGAAAGACTGAATCTTGCGATCTGCTGTGTGTGCGTGTGCGCGTGTGCAGAAGTCGGGGAGGCGCGGGGGCGGGCAGGTGTGCCAGATCTGCGGCGACGGCGTCGGCACCACGGCGGAGGGGGACGTCTTCACCGCCTGCGACGTCTGCGGGTTCCCCGTGTGCCGCCCCTGCTACGAGTACGAGCGCAAGGACGGTACACAGGCGTGCCCCCAGTGCAAGACCAAGTACAAGCGCCACAAGGGTAAATTTGTAGTCTCTTCTCCATTCCATTTGTTTGATCTTAGCTGTCTCCGAACCCGATTCTGGAGTCACTAGGAAAGTTTGGATCTTTCACAAGGAGCAGAGCAAAAATGATATTGTTTCTATTTGTGATGGATCTCATGGCATTTTCGGTCAGAGAGGGCATATTAGTTCTGTCACTATCACTGGATCCCACTTTAGCTTGTAGCATGGCTTAGTCTTGTCTTTGTGTGAATTCTGTTAAACTGTAGGTAGGAGGAAAAATAGTAACTGGAGTTCTATATGATGTGACATCCGGGACTTTTCTGCTCTAGAATAGCAAAAGATGATTGATAGGTTTTGTTAAGCATTCTCTGAACTGTGCATGAATCCTTCAGGGAGCCCGGCGATCCGTGGGGAGGAAGGTGATGAAACTGATGCCGATGATGCTAGCGACTTCAACTACCCTGCATCTGGCAATGAAGACCAGAAGCAGAAGATTGCTGACAGGATGCGCAGCTGGCGCATGAATGCTGGGGGCAGTGGGGATGTTGGCCGCCCCAAGTATGACAGTGGCGAGATCGGGCTTACCAAGTATGACAGTGGTGAGATCCCTCGGGGATACATCCCGTCAGTCACTACCAGCCAGGTTGGTGCCACTACTATTAAGACATTGTGCTAAAAAATGAAAATCTTCGGATATGCAATGATGCTTACTTTCTGAATTGATCTGCAGATCTCGGGAGAAATCCCTGGTGCTTCCCCTGACCATCATATGATGTCCCCCACTGGGAACATTGGCAAGCGTGCTCCATTTCCCTATGTGAATCATTCACGTATGTTTATTTTTTTGCCATGGTCTCTCATGTTTCAGATTACACCTGTTTGATGTGAAGATCTAATGATTGTTTCTTGCTCCATTACAGCAAATCCGTCAAGGGAATTCTCTGGTAGCATTGGGAATGTTGCCTGGAAAGAGAGGGTTGATGGCTGGAAAATGAAGCAGGATAAGGGAACAATTCCCATGATGAATGGCACGAGCATTGCTCCCTCTGAGGGTCGGGGTGTTGGTGATATTGATGCATCAACTGATTACAACATGGAAGACGCCTTATTGTGAGTTCCAACATCCAACACCCTCCTTCAGCTCACTCATGTTTTACAGGATCATATGTTGTTTAGTTCTAATGTTTTCTTTAATTAGCATAGTTACATTCACAAAAAAGGAAAAAAAGCTTGAGTTATTTCCTCTGTGCAGATGAATGTAAGAGTTGGAAGTTTGCCTTTATGTTCCCAAATTAATGACCTGTTTACACTTTTATGGAAGGTCACACTTATTCTATTATCAGGATTAGTACAAATCAAAGTGAAGGGTGTACTTTACCTTGAAAGCAGAACATTGTATTTATATCTTAGAATTATATAACTTTAACTAAAATGCACAAACCTGTCATGCTCAAATTACTGTAACAGTGAGCAATTGTGTCAGTCCAACCCTTTATTGCTATATTTTCTTCAACACATATTTGAACATTAATTTGTGCCATCTGAATTGCAGGAACGATGAAACTCGCCAGCCTCTATCTAGGAAAGTTCCACTTCCTTCCTCCAGGATAAATCCATACAGGATGGTCATTGTGCTACGATTGATTGTTCTAAGCATCTTCTTGCACTACCGTATCACAAATCCTGTGCGCAGTGCATACCCATTGTGGCTTCTATCTGTTATATGTGAGATCTGGTTCGCTCTTTCCTGGATATTGGATCAGTTCCCAAAGTGGTTTCCAATCAACCGGGAGACTTACCTTGATAGACTGGCATTAAGGTGATCTCTTTTCCAGTTCTCTAGTACGTTGTTCGAACACTAAATTTGTTCATATCACTTATGTTTGTTACTGTTCCATTTCCTCTAACAGGTATGACCGGGAAGGTGAGCCATCTCAGTTGGCTGCTGTTGACATTTTCGTCAGTACAGTCGACCCAATGAAGGAGCCTCCTCTTGTCACTGCCAATACCGTTCTATCCATTCTTGCTGTGGATTACCCTGTGGATAAGGTCTCTTGCTATGTATCTGATGATGGAGCTGCAATGCTGACATTTGATGCACTAGCTGAGACTTCAGAGTTTGCTAGAAAATGGGTACCATTTGTTAAGAAGTACAACATTGAACCTAGAGCTCCTGAATGGTACTTCTCCCAGAAAATTGATTACTTGAAGGACAAAGTGCACCCTTCATTTGTTAAAGACCGCCGGGCCATGAAGGTCTTTCTTCTTTGTGAACGGCTATATATTGATTTTCTAGTTGTAATCCAATACTGACGCGTCTTAACAAAAAATCATTGCAGAGAGAATATGAAGAATTCAAAGTTAGGATAAATGGCCTTGTTGCTAAGGCACAGAAGGTTCCCGAGGAAGGATGGATCATGCAAGATGGCACACCATGGCCAGGAAACAATACCAGGGACCATCCTGGAATGATTCAGGTTAGCATCTACAGAATGAAACTTCTGTTACTCAATCTTCTGCTAATGTGCTTGATAGTAGTTTTTTCCTTTTCCTTTCTCTTTAAAGTTGAAAGGAATTTGCTTTGCTAACTCCTCTTTCTCATCATACTCAGGTTTTCCTTGGTCACAGTGGTGGCCTTGATACTGAGGGCAATGAGCTCCCCCGTTTGGTCTATGTTTCTCGTGAAAAGCGTCCTGGATTCCAGCATCACAAGAAAGCTGGTGCCATGAATGCTCTTGTAAGTAGTTATATATTAGAAACAGTGCAAAATTATCAACTTCAATATGTGGGTTGTGATGGTGGATTTCTTTTTTTCACAGGTTCGTGTCTCAGCTGTGCTTACCAATGGACAATATATGTTGAATCTTGATTGTGATCACTACATCAACAACAGTAAGGCTCTCAGGGAAGCTATGTGCTTCCTTATGGATCCTAACCTAGGAAGGAGTGTCTGCTATGTTCAGTTTCCCCAGAGGTTCGATGGTATTGATAGGAATGATCGATATGCCAACAGGAACACCGTGTTTTTTGATGTAAGCCACAAATTGTGTTTTAATATTCTCCATCAATGTTATGACTATTGGGTGCACAAATTCTAAAGTTTCTAATTGCCTGTTTACCACAGATTAACTTGAGAGGTCTTGATGGCATCCAAGGACCAGTTTATGTGGGAACTGGTTGTGTTTTCAACAGAACAGCTCTATATGGTTATGAGCCCCCAATTAAGCAAAAGAAGAAGGGTGGTTTCTTGTCATCACTATGTGGTGGCAGGAAGAAGGCAAGCAAATCAAAGAAGAAGGGCTCAGACAAGAAAAAGTCACAGAAGCATGTGGACAGTTCTGTACCAGTATTCAATCTTGAAGATATAGAGGAGGGAGTTGAAGGTACACCTTTATTTTTTAGATGTTCATGGTTAAGACTAATGTTTAGTTTCTGAAAAGTGTACCTTTCTGTCACATGCTGTTTTTTCTTGTATATTTTGGTGGGTTTTGAAACATGTGTCCATGTTATCATTTTTGATATGGCAGGCGCTGGATTTGATGATGAGAAATCACTTCTTATGTCTCAAATGAGCTTGGAGAAGAGATTTGGCCAATCCGCAGCTTTTGTTGCCTCCACTCTGATGGAATATGGTGGTGTTCCTCAGTCTGCAACTCCGGAATCTCTTCTGAAAGAAGCTATCCATGTTATAAGTTGTGGCTATGAGGACAAGTCTGAATGGGGAACTGAGGTAACGTGACAAACTGAGAATCCTCAGATCAATACTGTTTTGATTTGTACTGTGGAAACAATAGGGGGAAAGCCGCAGATATACATTGGGAATTGGAGTAACGTGTAACCCTGAGCACAGAATCTGAATCTGTGTTAGATAGCCAGGAATGCAAAATTTTCCGGAATCCTGCTTGGCTTGGTTGACAACCAGAACAAACTCTTAAATTCTTCAACAATAAGAATAAAATGGAGAAACCATTCAATGCAAAAACATGGATGAATCAAATGTTTTGGAGGGGGAAAATCTGTTTCTGCTCTTGCTTTTAGTTCAGAGCACACTTCCTGTTCTATTATTGCAATTTGATAACCATATGTTAAAGTTAGCAATAGTAAGACTATTTCTTGGTTAGCATTAACAAGTTTATTTCAAATTGCAGATTGGGTGGATCTATGGTTCTGTGACAGAAGATATTCTTACTGGATTCAAGATGCACGCACGAGGCTGGCGGTCAATTTACTGCATGCCTAAGCGGCCAGCTTTCAAGGGATCTGCTCCCATCAATCTTTCAGATCGTCTGAACCAAGTGCTCCGGTGGGCTCTTGGTTCTGTGGAAATTCTTTTCAGTCGGCATTGCCCCTTATGGTATGGCTATGGAGGACGCCTGAAGTTCTTGGAGAGATTTGCTTACATCAACACCACCATTTACCCGCTCACGTCTATCCCACTTCTCATTTATTGTATTCTGCCTGCCATCTGTCTGCTCACTGGGAAGTTCATCATCCCAGAGGTAAGCATGGGTTACATAAGAGTGTTCTTTATTACGAGGAGCATTCAACAACGATACTGATGGAATCTATCTTGAAATGCAGATTAGCAACTTCGCTAGTATTTGGTTCATTTCTCTCTTTATTTCAATTTTTGCCACTGGTATCCTCGAGATGAGGTGGAGTGGTGTTGGAATTGATGAGTGGTGGAGGAATGAACAATTCTGGGTCATTGGAGGTATCTCTGCCCACCTTTTCGCCGTCTTCCAGGGTCTCCTCAAGGTGCTTGCCGGTATCGACACCAACTTCACTGTCACCTCAAAGGCCTCAGATGAAGACGGTGACTTTGCGGAGCTGTACATGTTCAAGTGGACGACCCTTCTGATCCCGCCAACGACCATTCTGATCATCAACCTGGTCGGTGTTGTTGCTGGTATCTCCTACGCTATCAACAGCGGTTACCAGTCATGGGGGCCGCTCTTTGGCAAGCTCTTCTTCTCCTTCTGGGTGATTGTTCACTTGTACCCATTCCTCAAGGGTCTCATGGGTCGGCAAAACCGCACCCCGACCATCGTGGTTGTCTGGGCAATCCTGTTGGCGTCCATCTTCTCCTTGCTGTGGGTTCGCATCGACCCATTCACCACCCGTGTCACTGGCCCAGATACTCAAACATGTGGCATCAACTGCTAGGAAAGTGGAAGGTTTGTAGAAACAGAGAAATACCACGACCCGTGTTTTTGAGAATACGGATGTGCCACTGCCATCAATTGTCTAAGTTATATTATAAGCAGGTGGCATTATTTACAGCTATGTACAGAATAGGAGATATTGTTTATCACAAAGTTACTTGTGTTGAAGGGCGGGTCTGGTGCAAGCGGTAGAGTCTTACCGCTTGTGACCGGAAGGTCTCGGGTTCGAGTCGCGGTCTCCTCGCATTGCACAGGCGAGGGTAAGGCTTGTCACTGACACCCTTCTCTAGACCTCGCACAGAGCGGGAGCTCTCTGCACTGGGTACAAAGTTACTTGTGTTGATCTGCATTCTTTTGTTGATATAAGTTATACTACTTTGTGGAGAGTGGCTGGCAGACGAGTTTTAATGTTATGAAGAACAAAGAAATAAGTTAGTTTGCATTCTTTCAATTTCCAAATGTTCTTGTCTCCTGGCAGTATTTAATTCGTGCATTTTAGATTGAACATTCTTTATTTATATAATTAGTCTGGTGCTCAAGATTCAACCTAATTGGCTGATTCTAGCAGAGTAAAAAGGTTTGTAATCCAGTAAGTATTAATGGGCTGCTGAAAAAGATCAAAGCACATTAACTGTAAGATACACATTGGCATTAAACTGTTTTGCCTATATGATCGTGCATATCTCCTTCTCAGTTCCCACTGGGACAGGACCATTGGATTTCCTTAAACTATTGTCTTCTACCTAATAAAATGAATGATAAACATTTGGCTGTATTTCCTTACTACCAGTGGTGGAGCTAGGATTTTTGTAAGGGTATGCCGACCTAAAATTTTTATACGCAAAACGATTAAATTGTAAAAATTGCCTATATTGCAGTGACTTCAATGCGCATGCCAAATGTTTATCATTCATTGTACTATTAGGACAAAACTATTTTTGTGCGCATGCTAAATGTTTATCATTCATTATACTACTAGAACAAAACTATTTTTGTTCTTGTAGTACAATGAATGATAAACATTTGGCATGCGCATTGAAGTCACTGCAATATTTTTTAGTCATTTGCATGAGGTCTACCTCTGCGAGCAACGCCGATATGTCCATGGTGCGCTCAATCATGAAACGTTTACTTTATTGATTACGGAGAAGCATTACAGTAACTAGTTGAGCATTGCAACTGGACATCACCTGAATCTAATTGGTGGTACAGTTCCGGTATCACCCAGCTAAATAAACTAACATACCACCTAAATCAGATTGGTGTATTTGCACACTTCTGATTTTGCCCAGCTGATTAGCCTATCATATTCACCACAACCAATAAACATCATAGGTTTCCTCCTACTTCTCACTTCCCCTCTTTAGTTTGCTTTGTGCTGCATATGAACAGTCTATAAAACCAGTTAAGGCATTCCTTCTATTGGTGCGGAAACTGCTAATATGTTTGCCATCTCCCAGGGAAAATGGGGTTTTATAGTGCTCTGTGTCTGAAATAGGTGAAAGCATCTAGGCCCCTAGTTGGATTTCGGTGATTAATGACAATACATGATTACTATGACTAACGTGTGTTTTGTAGAGGCAATTAAGTTAGGTCATGGTAATGGAGATCGATTGGGCAATCAAGGTGGTCATGCCCCTACGATGGAAATCGTTTCGGTTTTCAAAGGATGGACGACAAGGTTAAAGATGGACTAGTTCTAAGTGTCGTTTGGAGTTGAAGAGACACTTAGAGTAGTTTAGGACTTTATTTTTTCTTTGGCCGTACTATTAAGGGGGGGGTATGAACGGGTAGCTTGACCTAGGCGAGTCTAGTGGGTTAGGTGTGGTGCACACTTGCTAAAACTAGCACTAGCTAGCTCCAAAATAGTCCTTAGATCCAATGGAGCAAATTTCATTCACTGATGATCGAGAGTTGGAAGTGAATGGAGGGTCAAATGCTGACCGGACGCTGGTTCCGGGTTGACCAGACGCTGGCGCAGAGTCCGGTCAGTTCATTTGATCAAGGTGATATCATCTGGCGCAACCAGACGCTGAGAAGTGAAGTGACCGGACGCTGAGAGCCAGCGTCCGGTCGACTCCAGTAAGGTTCCAGAGAGGGAAAATCGTGACCGGACGCGTCCGGTCACACTTTAAACACTGGAGTTCGGGGTGAACTGACCGGAGCGTCTGGTCAACATGACCGGAGCGTCCGGTCACCCCGTAGAGGCACATAACGGTTCATTTTTCAGCCGGTGTTATAAATACCACCTCCATTCGTGTGTGTGGGTACTTTTGCTCATTCCAACAGCTGTGAAACACCTTTGAGAGTGCTAAGAAGAGCAAGGTCCTAGTTAGGTGATTGAGATTTGAGAATCCTAAAGAGAGCCCTCATTAGTGAGATCAAGAGTAGCAAAGTGTGCATCCACCTTTCTCATTAGGCTTGTCGTGGTCAAGTGAGAGTTCGTGCTTGTTACTCTTGGTGATCGCCATCACCTAGATGGCTTGGTGGTGATTGGGAGCCTGGTGATCATTCGACGGAGCTTGTGGATGACCCAACTCAAGTTGTGAGCTGTTGTGGGTGATTCACCGTGACGGAGTGTCAAAGAATCAACCCGTAGAGAGCACTTGATCCTTGTGCGGATCAAGGGGGAGCTACACCCTTGCGCGGGTGCTCCAACGAGGACTAGTGAGGAGTGACGACTCTCCGATACCTCGGCAAAACATCTCCGCGTTCCTCCGTCTCTCTTTACTTTGAGCAATTCAATTCTTGTCATTTACATTCATAGAATTGCCATGGTAGAGTAGGATTGGAACTTAGGTTGCAAGACTCTTTGTGCGATAGATCAATAGAAACACTTTCTAGGCACAAGGGATTAATTGGGCTAACCGTAGGGTTTAGTTATTGCAAAGAAATTTAGAATTAGCCTAATTCACCCCCCCTCTTGGGCATCTTAATCCTTTCAATTGATATCAGAGCCTCGTGCTTACGTATTTAGGCTTAACCGCCTAGAGAAAGATGTCTCACGGGGATAGACCTCCTCTTATCTTTGAGGGGGATGATTTTCTTTATTGGAAAATCCGTATGGAGGCGTACTTGGAAGCTCTAGATGTTGGAATACTTAGAGCCGCCTCACAAGGCTTCCCAAAACCTAAGGATGCTACACACTTACAAGGCGATGAGGTAAATTACAAGAAATGGAATGCAAAGGCTCGAAACACCATCTTTAGAGGCCTTTGCAAAGATGTGTTCAACCGAGTGAGGAACCACAAAGACGCCCATGCACTATGGTCGGACGTTTGTGCGCTCCATGAGGGAACAAAGAGTGAGCGTGAGGAACGCTATCATCTTGTCATAAAAAAGCTTAACTCTTTTGAGATGCTTCCTAAAGAATGTGCTAATGAGATGTACTCACTCTTGAATATTCTTGTAGAGGAAGTCAATGGGCTTGGACTCACTCAAATGCAACCATCCGATGTTGTAAGAAAGATCTTGAGTGTCCTCCCCATTGACAAATATAGGCATATTGTGACTGTGCTTCATCAAGGTGATCTTTCCACCGCTACACCAACACAAATCTTGGGAAAGATCAATGCTCATGAGATGTACATGCACATCACACCACAAGATGGCTCATCCTCTACTAAGAAGAAAGACAAGGACTTAGCATTCAAAGCTAGTCAAGAGAAGGGCAAAGCAAGGCTTGAGTATGAGAGCTCAAGTGATGATGAAATTGATGATGCAAGTCTTGCTCTCATGGTGAAAAGAACCATCAAGATGCTAAAGAAGCTCAACAAGAGTGACATCAAGTTTGATGGCAAGAAGAAGAAGTTCTTCACAAGCTCTAGAAGGAAGCCAATCTCTGAGATGGATTGCTACAATTGTGGAGAACTTGGTCATCTAGCACACCAATGCACCAAACCCAAGAAAGACAAGTACAAGAACAAGTACAAGGGCAAGAAAGATGACTCAAGCAATGAAGAAGAAGATGAGAAGAAGAAAAACAAGCTATACAAGAAGAAAGATGGCAAGAAGAAGGATTTCCACAAGAAGAAGAGTGGAAAGGCATACATCGTTGGTGATTGGCTCACGGACATTGATTCATCAAGTTGCTCATCCGATAATGATAGTGATAATGAGAAGGTAGCCGCCATTATGATTGACTCCTCATCATCTTCACCAACACCACCGCTGTCATCCTCTACACACCTATGCCTTGTGGCCAAGGGTGAACGAAAGGTATCAAATGATGATGATAGTAGTAGTGATGATCAAGCTAACAATGATGATTGTGATAGTGATAGTGATGATGATGAATTTGAATCACCTTCATATGATGAACTTGTCAAATTACTAAACAAATATACTAGGATCATTAGAAAGACTAGAGCTAAGAATGACAAGCTAGAAGCTAAGAATGATTCTCTTTTAGCTAAATGTGATGTAGCGGAAAAGGCTAATGTTGATCTTAGAGAAGCAAATGATGCTATATCATCCAAACTCAAGGAGCTCAAATCTTCTAAGAAAGAGCTTAAAGAAAAACATAATAAACTTGAGGGGATGCATAAAGAGCTCATCACTAGCCACAACAAGCTAAAAGAAGAATATACCACTCTTAAGATTAATCATGATAATATTGTCATTGCTCAAGAATTTTTATCCAATGAGCCACATGATGCTACTAACAATGTTGTTAAGATTGATATAGCTACAGCATGTGATGATTTGATCATTGAGAGCATTGAGCAAAGTTCTAGTAGCAAGGGCAAGCAAGTGGTTGAGGCCGATGGTTATGATGAGTTTGTCAAGCTCAAGAATGACAACGAAAAGCTCAAGAAAGATCTTGAAGAGATCAAAAGCCACAACACTATTGTGCTAGAAACTCTTGATCATGATGGTGATTTGATGCTTGAGAATGAGAAGCTAAAAGAAGAAAACAAGAAGCTCAAGGAAGAGAAAAACAATGATGCTCTCAAAGAAGAGAACAAGAAGCTCAAGTTGGAGAAGAGCATCTCAAGATTG